CCAAGAGAAGGCAGTACAGAGAGAGAATGCATAAGACTTGCGGTCGGTTGATCTTTACTTCTTGAAAAACTGCCGACATCTCCTCCCTTCAGTCCAGAACTAAGACTGCATCACTGAGCACGGGGGTGGGTGGGAGGTTTGGCGTTCATAATTTGGGGGGATTTGAACAAGGAACCTAAACAGGAGCAGAACGCGAACAGCTTTTCCCTCTACATTTGATTATGATGATGTTGGAATGTGCAGATTTGAAGCAGGGATCGGAACATTTTCTCCGAGGGGTGTATTCCATGATTTCATATGCCATGCTAAAGAATTCCATAATACATACGGACGCGGTTAGAAAAAATGGTTACATCTTCAATCAAGGGCAATAGTCACTGGAAAAGATCACAATCGCGAAGGTTGCATGTAGGCTGCTGGCAGCTTGAAATTCAGGTGTTGAGAAAAAATACAGTCACCCGCTTCTCCCCTGTGTGTGCATGTGTGTGTGTGAGAGAGACAGGAGAGTAGCTGCGGTGTCTGTGGTTTCCTACGATGACCTAGTGGGACGCTACTAAACTAAAACAGAGCACTTAGATCGAATCCAGCAGCGTGCTTGATCTCATTTATTCAAAACGTAGTAATCACACACCTCTGTCTAGCAGTCGCTAGATTTAGGTTTAAAAACATAAATATTATTATATTAATACTCTGAGGTCTAAGTCATCATATACCCTAACCCGCGCTTTGGAAGAGCAGTGCTAACCATTGCTAGCAAACGGTGCTATGCAATATCAAACTAATGCAAATACATGAATCCCAAATATCTACTGAAATGATCTTACATATAACACTAAATGTGATTCACAGCTTACTCAGTATCATCGTCACATCTTTAAGTATCTAAAAGGCTTCTATGTTAGCTGTGTCCACAACATAGAAAACAAAAAGCATGGTTATTTTGTTGGGTTCTATCTATTTTTGTGGTGCAGGACTTCTATGCATTAAACATCAAATAGGTTATAGTATGAAGTCCGCACTTTTAACACAACTTGAAATGGAGACTCAGCGAGGCTGTATCTCCCTGCTAGACCATCTTAAATCAGTCCAGAGAGTTAAACCTATGAATAGAGAGGAGCTATCCTACTCCTTATGTACACACAGCAAGAAATTTTTACTGACAGGGATACCGAACTGGGGTTAAAATACATTACCGCTCAACACTGACACACAAACATTAATGTACAACACCATTCAAATTCTCAAACTCTTTGTGTATGACTCTAATTCTATTGTGATAATGTTTGGCACACGGGTTATAGGCTCACCTCACATAGCCAGCATGTTTCTATGAACGAAGGTGCAACATATGCTACCTTTTATGGTGCAAACACAGACCCGGAGGGAGAGATTTGGGTGATTCACAAGGTCATGATCAGAAGTAAAAACACCATATTGCCAGACTTCAAGCTACACAGTTGCAGTCAGTCAGCATCGCATGACTAACTACTGGCCAATAAGTTTGCAGCAACAAGTTGTGGTTTAGATGCTACAATAGAGAGATGACCAGATGTTTTCCACACAGATTGCAACCATTTCCCAGTCCAAATGAATGACTTTAAGTAATCTGATTACATCTAAATTTTCCATGTTTTTTTTTAATGGAGGTACAATGTGAAATGTTCAATTCAACGGAATATACTTACTCTTTTTTTCACACTTGGATCAATTATAGTAAGAAATAACTGTTAAACAATTTCTTATTAAGTCTTTTAAACTAGTTTCGCCTTCTAAAGTTTCAAAGGGATAAACTAGCAGCCTGCACAGACTTTGCTTTGAGGCATCAGCTCCTCGAAATGTGCAGCGTTTTCTCTGAACAAGAATCGATTTGGAACGATTACTATCCGGGTTCGCATGTCATGGTCCTCCAGTCCTCCTGTGTGCCTCCACCGTCTCTCTCTCTCTCTCTCTCTGTTGTGTCCTTGCTGCTCTGTGTGAGGGTGTGTTTACTTGCCTTACAGGGGCGGGATTCTCCTGGGATCCCCGCCCTCTCCTGGACACACCTGACTCAATCAGCACCAGTGGATCATCTGGCAATCAGCTGTTTGCTATTTAAGCTGGGACCTGACGTTCAGTCTTTGCCTTGGTGTTGTCTAACTGCAGTAGTGTTCACGTTGCCTCTCTGTTTCAGTTTATTTGCTGAAGCTTTCTAATGCGTCTTTTCCTGTGCCTAGGACGGCCCAGCGGAGTTCCAAAAGAGTGTTTGTTACTTGGCAGAGTGAGGAGATCGGGGACTTGGATTCATGCAACCTTCCATCCATTGGATTTTGTACATATTGGACTTTTGAACTAAGCACTTCAAAGACTTTGTATATAGCACTATCACCAACACTGTAAATATACTCACTGAACTTTCATTCCTGAGTCCTGCGTTTGAGCCCAGCCAGACAAACCATGACATCGCATCATTTGCAGAGATGCAGACTGAGAGGATTTGGTGTCACTGTACTGACACGCAGGGTGCCTTATAATATGTCCTCTTGCAGTTTACAAATGTGACGCAATCGAGCAAGCTGAAGCTCTACTGTCATGTGTTCTTTTGATGCGCCACTCTGTTCGCATAAATCTGCACAGTTCGGCCTGTTTTACTGCTCATTAACTTTGTGTGTGGTTCAAATATGACAATAGAAGATGGGGTGGGTAGGTGGGGGATTTTTATGGGGTTTATTTTCTAACATAAATGAGGGAAAATAAGTTGAAAAATAAGCCCCTGTTGGCTGGTTATTTTATTTATTCATTGAAAAACCCCAAATCTGTCTTGGGAATCCTAACTTAAATCAAGTTCCATGTTGGTCTAGAGGAAGACGTCATTGTAGGGATACTTTATTGAGAAGGCCACCAAGTCCCATCATTATAGAACAATCATGACAGGCCCAGCAGTCGTCGGTCTCTGACTATAACTGGACGACCAACAGTGATGTGCTCCGTGCGGGCGCACGGACTATTTATTTGTGCAGATCTACTATGGAAACCAAACAAGTTAACACCAAATTCAAATGGCGCCATTGCTAAATATATAATATAACATATAATAAACCAGAGAAGACCCCCTATTGGGTTGAATATATGTTTTAATAGTAAAATTTACTTTGGGTGAGCAGCATAATGCATGAAAACATTAATAGCCGTCACACAGAAATGCACATGAGATGCGTCCAAAGAACCACTGCTGAATGCCATGTATAAATCTCCGAGTGCTTCAAAAGGCCATAAAAGACAAGAACAAAAGAAAGCGAAAAGGGGATGTTGTTGAGGAAAACAACATGAGCTTCATTACCAAAGAAAGCGCCACATTCACAACAAAGAAAAAAAATGCTTTTGCTAAAAGGAGCTGGAGCTAATTCAGCTGCTGCTTAAGAGGAGGGATTGTGAACAGAGCCACTGGATTAAATGTGCAGCCCAACCGCAACGTAATGGCAACAAAGCATCTAAATGAAAGGAAATATATAAAAGTCCCTGTAAAACAAAAGCAGCGCAAAAGAGATTTGCAGAAGTTTGAGAAGTCCCTCAAGCAAAAGCATTTTAAAATGTAAACGTTTGCCCTCTTTTGGGGCTTTTTCTGCCTATATGAGAACACTCAAGTGAACCAGCCAGGCATGGACACAACCAATTTAGCCCAATTAACAACAGATGTGTCCATCTATTTCGGTTTGACATGAGTTCTCTGCAATAACACGATTAGCTGTCTCTTCATTCGCCGTCTCGTTTTCCATCCATACGCTTTCCCCATCAGAGCCGCACTTCTTTTCGGTAGCTTTTCCACAATTTTGGACACAGCCAGCTACGGCAGGCATGCTGCTAACCAACACCCCACACTGCACAAACTACATCAGCGAATCAGCTGCAGGGAACACTACAGAAACAGCATTTTTTTCAGCTGAGAATGAGGAGCAGCAAAAGATGGGGTGGAATCAGCGGTATGCGAGATCCTCTTGAGCAACATGAATGGTTATACAATAGAAAATCAAAAGAGACTGCGCATTACTGGTTTGAGTTTGAACTGACTGTGTGATGTGTGCAGCTTGGGTTTGGCTTGTTACGAGCCATATTTCATGGGGTTCAGAGGGTCAGGGCCTGGTACCACATTTTTGATGCTCTCGTGGCACTGTTTCATAAAACTGGGACAATAAAGATGGCTCAAACCATGCATTATGTAACTTCTTGTTTAATAAGAAAATTACTGGTATTATTGTTGTCAGCTACATTGCCATTACCAAATTAATAGTTGCGATTGCAGGCAGAGAAAGAAATTTACCACCATCTGCTCAGCATCGCACAACTTTGAGGCTACACAAAGCCTCAAAGCTGTAGTTCCCGTTTTGTATCATACTTTCATTGTTAAGTTGACTGGAAAGTCACAAATCCATAGTAGTGTACAACAGTGCCTCAAATGGTTTGTTCCTCTATCTTATTAAGACTGTGTATCGCTCACCTTTAAGTTATATTCAAACCAATGTAATACCAAATCCATAGTTATTATGAGTGAGTGGATTTTTGTAGTGAAGTACTATGTCTATAAATTTATTTGGGAAAGTGTGCCACTAATGTAAAATATCATTTAAGCTGTATTGTTAAGTATCTTTGTGTATCAAAATCCGATTATAAGATTTTGGCTGTTTTAGCTTTTCTTTCTAACTGGTGTACATTAGTGGGATGTCTAAGAGTTTTATTTAATCTCCTCTGCATAGAATACGGTTATTGTGATTTTTTCCACCAGAGTCCTGTAGGGTAGCAGACCGTAACACTGAACCTAACTTTAGCAAACAAAAACCTAACCCCAATCCAAAGGTCTTACACTGATTCAATTTGCTCATTAAAGACGTGATCAGTGGCAAAAGTTCCTTGCAGCGCCATAAGCAAAGCCTGTGTAAGTCTATCGCATGCACAGCCATACAGAGCACACAGATATGGATACAGGAACATACTATCCCGCTTCAATTTGTGAAAGAATGCAGACTAACCTACTCGCAGCTCCTGACCGAAGACTGTTCTTTCTCCCAGCGCCGAACAGTTCCAGCGTCCATATCGGAACTGGTATTGACACTCATTGATGCCCATCTGGGCCCCTTCGCCCACAACAATTATGGCGTCCGGGCGGCTCTGGCAGATGGCCCGCTGGCGAGGTGCCAGCCCTGGGATCTTGTTGCAGATGATGTTGGCACCCAGAGCCACCACTGAGGACAGGGCCCTGCCGAAGTAAGAAAAACACACCGCCACACACGCAGACATGCATTCATACGCAGAGGCATGGATGCATG